TACAAGATGAAGGCAGCGAGAACCAAGAAAACCCTCAAAATGTTGCTGAAGGGTTACACGAGAGTGAGCCTTCTCTCCCAGAACCCCGACGCAATCCCCGGCGTGATAGGCAGCCTCCCACCAGGTTTCAAGATTTTGATATATATAAACCAAAGCATCCAATGTCAAGTTATGTGTCATATCAAAAGGTGACTCCTTCGCATGCTGCCTTTCTTAACAACATTTCTAGTTACAGGGAGCCTCAAAGTTTCCATGAGGCTAATAATCAGGCTGTGTGGCAAGAAGCAATGCGAGATGAACTCAAAGCTCTAGACCAGCACAACACTTGGAGCATCACCAAACTTCCAAAAGGAAAAAGGGCAGTGGGTTGCAAGTGGATCTATAAGATCAAGTTTAATGCAGATCGTTCAATCGAGAGGCATAAAGCCAGGCTAGTGGCTCGAGGGTTCACTCAAACATTTGAAGTGGACTATAAAGAAACATTCGCGCCAGTTGCAAGGATGAACTCAGTAAGGGTGTTATTGTCTGTTGCTGTCAATAAAGGTTGGTCTATGTATCAAATGGACGTGAAGAACGCCTTTCTTCACGGTGATCTTGAAGAAGAAGTTTACATGCGATTGCCCCCTGGACATCCTCAAAGTCAGGTCCCTGATCTGGTGTGTAAGTTACATAAGTCCATTTATGGACTGAAGTAATCGCCTCGTGCTTGGTATGCTAAACTAAGCTCAGTTCTTCATAGTGCTGGTTTCAAAAGAAGTGGTGCTGATTCATCATTGTTCGTACGTACTGGAGCTGGTGGAAAATTAGTGGTGCTGATTTATGTGGACGATTTAATAATCACTGGTGATAATGCTTCCAAGATCTTCAAACTCAAACAGTCACTACAACAAAAGTTTGCGATTAAAGATCTTGGGGTGTTAAAATATTTTCTTGGGATTGAAATGGCATCTTCTCACAAGGGTTTATTTCTCAATCAACGAAAATATGTCATGGATCTTCTCAAGGATGCTAACATGAGTGAGTCAAAGCCTACCACCACTCCTCTCGATAGCAAGCTCAAACTTAAAATGGGCGGAACTCCACTCTCAAATATCAGTTCATACCAGAGGCTTGTTGGTAAGCTAATCTACCTAACTATCACCAGACCCGATATCTCATATGCAGTGAGCATTGTCAGTCAATTCATGCACACTCCTTCTGTCGATCATTTGAATCTTGTAAAGAGGATCTTACGTTACTTGAAAGGGTCTGTGGGACGTGGTATTCTTATGACAAAGAATGATCACACTCACATCATGGGGTACTGTGACGCAGATTGGGCAGGCAATGCCCTTGATCGCAAATCCACTAGTGGTTACTGCACCTTTGTTGGTGGAAACCTGGTCACCTGGAAGAGTAAAAAGCAAACTGTCATCGCCAGATCCAGTGCCGAAGTTGAGTATCGTGCAATGGCTTCAACAGCTTGTGAATTAATCTGGCTCAAGGGTCTTCTAAGCGATTTAGGGTTTTCTACAACTCTTCCTATGTCTCTATTCTGTGACAACCAAACTGCCATGCACATAGCTTCCAATCCAGTGTTTCACGAACGCACGAAGCACATTGAAGTTGACTGTCATTACATTCGTGAGCAGGTGCAATCACAAGTAATTTAGACACACTATACCAGAAGCTCTGATCAACTGGCTGATATTCTCACAAAGCCCTTGCCTTCTCATCAGTTTCAGCGCCTTCTGTCCAAGCTTGGATCCATCAACCTTCTGGCTCCAGCTTGAGGGGGAGTATTGGAAGTTGTCTAATGTACTTTAGGGTTTGGGTTACATGCATGGCTGAGTTTGATTTCTTAGTGACTTGTTGTCAACTCCTTAATTCATGGAGTGGACATTTAGCTTTCCAAAGTATTTTGTAAGGATCTCAAGGATCTCAAGGATGAGTTGTCATCCTCACTTTAGCTAAGTTATGGGCTAAAGTGATGGTCTTAACCCTACTCTCATGTCTTCCATACCTTGTCTTGTCCCTTACCTCTTTGTTCTTCTTACTTACTTGTAGGAGCTTCTTTCCTTATTTTATTTTTCTTTTTGCTTCTCATGGGTCTAGGGCAGGTTCTTAGGGATTGTGTTTGCTCCTCTCTTGTAGCTTCTCTTTTTGTTTCTTTATAAGAGTGTTCTCACTCTCTTGTAATTCTTACAATGAATATACAACTCAATCTTTGAAAAGCAACACCATACAAGAGCACGATCTTAGATGAGGCTTCGAGGATTAGATGGGAGAGTGATTAAGAGGCAATCAAGAGCAGGTTTAAGGAGAAAGGGTATGGGGATGTGGTGCCACAGTTGGTGTTTTCAAACCGGTTCCATAGTTGATGCCGGTGATTTCTACACAAATAGGTTGACCATTTTGAGTGGCTTCAATGGTGCTCTGATCAAGTCCATAGTTGGCGCTGAACATGTCCTCGAAGCAGCCATCTCTGCCAAAAAGTATAAAGATCTTCTTGTTGACTCATGAATTTTATGATTTGCTTAGGAACTTTGATTAGTTTCTGATGATGGATTGTTAGAATAAATACCTTTACTGGAGACTTGGTGAAATCCAATTTACTGATGGTTATATCCTTCCATTTCAACTCGCTGCTGGGAAGCTGAATTATGTTCTCTAACTGCTGGCGGGCAGACAATATATCGCAGCTTCTCTCTGAGAAAAGACATTGTCAAGCAAAAGTTAACAATCAATAGGCTCCGATGGATGGATTTACAATCGAAACGAAACTTTTATTGATGGAAAGCCTCTTCTCCTGGTGGTGTATATTTTGTTTTCCAGCAAGCGGGACATTCTCTTAGAAAAGATTGTTCAAGTTTGATCCCGTGATTTGCAGATTGCCAACAAAGCTGGCAGATGGTTAATTTGATGGAAAATGGTGATTTACAACAGCAAAACAAAAATTTGTTAAAATGAACTTGTTATTTTGAAATGTTCTGAAAGAGAAGAACGAGGATGATTATTCGTAAGGGAAATAACAGATTTGAGTAATGCAAAATCAACCCTATACCATAGGAAGCCACTATGAAGGCTTAAATTAACACTTCAAATAACTGATCAAACAAAACACAACAAATTCAGAGGCTCTGTGGCCTTTGAACAAATTTTCATCCTCAAGTAAATGAAAAACTGCAACGGGCCTCCTAGACAAATCTGTTGCATCCTTTTTTGTAATTCAGGAGAACAAAATGTACAAGTTTGGGCTTATGATTCTCACCTTTTGCACAACGAATACATCACTCCCAATCAACTGCCCTGACATCCATTTGTGCCAATTCTGATCTTGCTATGACTCGGGGCTACTGACTTGTTGATGACTCGTACATCTGCTTACTTATTATCCTTGAGTTACTGCGGCTACTGCATTTTTGCTGCAAGTTATTATTTTCCCTCATGTGGTGGCTTAGGACATGACAAAATATAATTTTATACGAGTTCATAGTTATACGACATCCAATATCTACTGACACCATAAGCATGTCTAACCCAAAAAAGAAGGCCATGGGAAATGCATGAATTTTCCATAATTGTTTTTTTCTTTTGGAACAAAATGAAGTTTTACTCAATCAACTCCCCTGACTTACAAATCCCAGTCACAAAAAATTACACTCATACAATAAAACAAAATAAATTGCCTGGAAATTAGGTATCATTACTCTCAGAACTTGCTGGCTAGATTTCTAAACATGAGTTTATCTCAAGTATAAGCTAATAAATTTTTTTACCTTGATCAGTAATTTATTTATTTAATTTTAATTCTTAGCCAGGGATATACTGAAGAAATGTTTTAATTCAATATGATTTCAAATTTCCCATCTAAAATCAAATGAAATTAAGCTTTGGTAATTTAAAAGCACTAAATTACTTGATAATTAACCAAAGCAACCCAAATAAATCTACAATCGAAAGGGTAAGACACCAAGACAAATTTAAAAACTCAAACCCATTCAAACTCATTTATTTGCCTCCACTTCCTTAGCAAACGGAGATGGAGTAATGGAGCACCAAACGACAACAATGGAGCTGAATTTAATGAAACAATAGATTGGGTTTTACCTTTAGTAGCACACTTACGGTGCACAAGATACTGATGAAGCCCCAAAGAACTGGAAGATATTTAACACACTTATGGTGCACACAATACTGATATTGCTTTAATATTTTCTCATGAACCAAGTGGTAACCTTCTAGCTATACCCTGCAAAACATATCTACGGATCAGAATGTATAGCTTCATATGCATATACATACATACATGCATGCATATGTGTGTGTGTGTGCTTATGTGTATTGGCAGGCTCTCGTACAGACTCCAGATTGTTCATACTCAAAATGTAAAGTTATTAGGAAATGTGTCAGATAAGATATGTATGAATCAGAAAAAGAAAGTAATATATAGTTTTCCAAGGAAGGTTTATTAAATATCACTAATCCTCTTCGTTTTCTTTTTAATATTTTGCCAAACTAATTGTCCATTTGTCACTAGTTTATTATGAAATTTTAACTCTTCATTCGTAAGTTCGCTTCAGAAACAGAGATAATTTACACATTGAACAAGTGAAACGTGATGCATGGATTTGAGTTAGAAAAAAAAAAAAAAAAAAAATACAAAACACAATAAACAATAGGACGTCTAACAAAATGAATCTGAGATTTTAAGTACAAACTTGCCTCATGATCTTCACAAATGCTTGTAAACTTTGTGTAAGCACCGAAGCTACAATCAGCTTGTGGAATATCCTTAATGAGAATCAGTGCTGAAGCTAGGGCACAACATCAAATTCACAGTTTGTAAGGCTTCTAGTGTGACGAAAACATCCAATTCTTTTTCTGATGCAAGCAATGTTGGGGGAAGGAGGGAATTCGATCACAAGACCTCAGGTGCAGGGCTCAACACTTGAAACCACTTGAGCTACAAGCCCCTTGCAACATCCAATTCTTTTTAAAAACAACATTGAGGATCATTATCATGTTCCATTAAGTCCCTCGGTCAACATTCTATTTGTCTCTGGATAAAGCTGGCAACCCATCTTCTCCATGATTTTTAGCAGCTCTGATCCTCTATTTAAATGGCCCCTCTTAACCAAACCATCAAGGAGAAGTTTCCAAGCAACTTCATCATAGTTATAACCACAGCGAAGCATACTACAAAAAACTGCCTTAGCCTTCTCGTCGTCCTCTTCATCAAAAAGTCCACATACAAGCAACTTGCATGACTCCAATGCTGGTAAATAACCATGCTCAATCATAGTATGCACTAGCATTGCTGCCTCTCCGTATACTTGCATCTCACAGCAACAATTAACAAGAGAAATATAAATACCTTCGTTAGGAGAAATACCCATATCTCTCAAGTTTCTCTCTTTGCAAAGTCTTATTATAAGCTCGCCATAAGTGTTCATATTGGGAGCACAACCATGTCCAACCATCTTCTCAAACAGCTCCAAAGCAATTCCAAAATCCTTGGTCTTCCATATATCAGTAATATTGCCAGAGACATTTAACATGATATCGAGACCCACTGCTTTACTGTTTGTCATGACCAACTTTTCATTTGAGAGATGTTTGTTTAGAAAGGAATAGGTACGATGACAAGGCTCACAACCAGAACCAAACATGCGCTTAAGAACATCAAAAGCACAATCAATTAATCCCATACGGACATATGCATCAATTAAAAATGTGTAAGTCAATGAATCTGCAGAAATTCCTTCTACATTCATCTTAATCATCACCTTCTCCGCTTCCTTTATATTCCCAAGCGCGCAATATGCCTCAATAAATGTGTTGTAAGTAATTACAGTAGGTTGGTTACCGACAGAAACCATTTTATTGAGAAGCTCATGAGCACGATCAAATTCACCTTCTTTCAGAACACGATTAATTAAAATATTGTAATGAGGGACTGTAGGCTTCACACCTATACTTAACATTTTTTCCATGACTGAGGATGCTTCCATCATGTTTCTCTCTTTGAATAGCCCATGTATCAAGGCATTGATGGCATATGAGTTTGGCAAACAATCCTCAGTGAGCATTTGATCAAATAAAGAAAGGGCGGCATCGATTTTCCAAATCTTGCAGTAACCATCAATTAAAGCAGTAAACATCTCTGTACTTGACTTGATGCCATTCTTCTTGAGAGTATCAAACATGGTTTGAGCTTCCGGTAATCTGTTCCACTTACAGAGACTGTCGATGAAAGCACAGTAAGTAATCTGGTCAGGAGCCAAACCACTATGAGTCATCAAATTAAGCAACCTACAAGCACTATCGAAATGATCTGCTTTACACTGTCCATGGATTAACGAGTTATATGTTACCAAGTTTGGTGAGAGCTTCAGTTCAAGCATTTTATTAAGCAGTGCCATTGTCTGGTGCACATTATTCCTTTTACACAGCCCGTCAATCAATGCACTGAGTGTGTAAACATCTGGACAACAAGCATTTGATTCCATCAAAGCCAAAATTTCATGTGCAGCCTCAACTGCTCCATCCTCGCGATACCCATTAATTAATGCATTGTATGTGGCGACATTAAGACCCAATCCTTTCTCCAGCATCCGGTTTAGCACCTTTCTGGCATAATTAAGCTTATTTTGGTGAAAGGATTCGTTTAACAGAGAGAACTAGATACAGAGGGTACCAGATTTCTTTCGATTTGGGTTGCGCTGCTTGGCTCATTGATCAGTTAAAGGAGGCGGTAGTTACAAGCGGTCAGAATTTCTTCAGAAAATATAGAGGTCATAATTATCAGTTTTGGGTTGAAAGATTCCACAACAAAAACGGGGATTTCCTTGTTCTGTCCAAAACAGAAAAGGATGGTTTTGTCAGGAATATCTTTGTCCCTAAAGGAAGTAACTTTTTCGGCTGGAGAAGTTTGGAGGACCTACTGTCTGAAATCCTCCGAGGGGGAAAGAGAGCGGGGGCTTCTCAGAGGAATGTGAAGAGGGATGGAATTGAGCCTTTGAGCAGCCAATCGGGGTTTGGCCCTCAGGTTTCGTATAGAGACGCAGTTCTTGGAGGCAAGATGTTGACAAATGAGGCACCCCTTCGAAACGTTAGAGAGGAAATATGGATCAAGAAAAACTGGAATATGAGAGATATTACCACGGAATCCTATAGTTGGGGGAGTGTAATCGTTTGTGAGAGACTTGTGGTGCATCAGCCTTGTGAGAGATTGGCGATGCATGCGGTGGTCTGGTAGAAGTTAACCGTAGAACAGCTAACTTTGGTTTTTTGCTTGAAGCAAAGTTAAAAATCAAACCCAACAACACTGGCTTTATTCCAGAGTTCGTAAATGTGGCAGATGGAGAATCAGTATTCAGGGTAAAAATCCGTCAACTTTCGCTAGCAAGGAGACCTAATGTTTCGGCAGCAAATTGTGGTGTAACCAAAATACCAAATGGCTCTTTGAAGACTGAATTGAAGTTCCAGAGGATCACCGGAATTATTCCTCCGGCGAAGGCAGCTTTACAACAGATAACCCCTATATCGGGGACACGTGTCTGCTTTCAGATTGGAGAATTTGAATGCCCTGTCATTGTTGGATCTGAAAGAAAACAAGGTGAGAGCATGCACGTGACTGAGGGTGCACGGATTGAGGAGCCTGTAATTCCTGTCTCTACTTTTTCTGTAAGAAAACAAGGTGAGCTACAACGAGCAGAAAAACTAACAGAAGCGGCGAAAATGACAGAAGCGGCGGGTTTCACAGTAAGAGCAGAAAAGGCAGTTGCAAGGGATTATTTTAATAAATCAAAAGAGAAAGGAAGTCACAAAGAAGTTTTCTATTCGGATAAAGGCAAGGGCTTGGAGGTATGTGGGACAGATGGTGGCGGTGGTATTTCCACCGAATGAGCACAAAAATCAACGAAGGGGTTTTATTTTAATAGGACAAAAAGGGAGGTTAATCTCAAAAGTGGTCTCTTTTGGATTAAAGAAAAGGTATTGGAGGCATGTGGGCCTTCCATTAATAAGGAGATTTCTTTATATGACTCTGCAAGGATGGTGGGTCTTGACCCACAAAATCTTTTTGCTGGGTCATGTCTAGACCCAATTAATCTAAAATTCAATGGGCTGAGATTTCAACTACAACAAGGAAAAGTATTGTCAACCATGGATAATACGCAAACATCCCTGTTGGTGGAATCAAAGTACTCGAATTGGTTGACAATAGGAAGCAGCACTTCAAAGTTTTCAACAGTGAACAAATCTCACCTTCTTTTGGCTAAGGAAGCTCATCACAATGGTGTTTCAAGAAGAACCCCATTTTGTTTCAAATTGAATTTCCTTGGGAGATTTGGCGAATCTGATAAATGTGGAAAAAGACTGAAGCATTTTCTTCCAGATGAGTTCAGATCTTATCATACTCCTTTCGAGAGGCCTAAACTGAAGGAAATTCAATCTCCCAATCTCACTTTCTTAAATACTGTTTGTGAATAGATGGAAGAAAAGGAGAGTCATGTCGATGAAGTTCTAATAAGCCCATCGGGCGGGTTGATTGAGGAGGAATCATCTGAATAAAGGATGAGGTTGACAGAGGATCTTAGTCTGGATTATTCTCAATTGTCATAGTTTGTTGAAGACGAATACATGTCACAATCATCAAATTCAAAGGAGGAGCTTGGTGATTCTTCACAAGACAAAAAAGAAACCTTCGATGTTTTTGATCGCTTTAACGATGTGTTTCACAATCTCTTCATTGATACAACCATGGAAACAAGGAAGACGTTGGATGAGGTACCTTTTCAGTCGCATCATAAAGCAGATTTAGACGCTGTGGAACAAGTTGAATACAAGGATACTGGAAAAAACAAGAAACTGTTAAAGTACAGCAGGAGGAAAAGGTTGGCTTGTGTATCAGTCAAACGTGAAGCACAAAATCGAACTACCAAATTCATGTCAAATATGAAAGTTTCTTTGGTGCCACTGAAAAGGTCTTTATTTCATGAAAGGAATACTGGGAAAGTCAATGTTAGCAAGCTTGTGGGTGAAAACAAGGGAGAAAAGAAAATTCAAAGTGGCATTGTTAGATTTAATGAAGATAATTAGCTGGACTGTTAGAGGATTGGGAAGTAGGCAGAAGAGGTTGATTTTGAAACAGCAGTTCATGCGTTTAAAGCCCGATATCATTATCTTACAAGAAACAAAGAAAGAATCAATTGACAGGTCGCTTGTGGCTAGTGTTTGGGGAAGCAGATTTAAAGAGTGGATTTATGCCCCTGCTTAAGGAAGATCTAGGGGTATAGCTGTGATTTAGAACAGCAAACACATCTCAGTTATTGAATCTTTGGTTGGAGCTTTCTCTGTCTCCATAAAAATTAAAACCCTCAATAGGTTGGAAAGGTGGTTATCTGGTGTTTATGGTCCCTACAAAAATAGAGAGCGAATGGAGTTCTGGGAAGAAATGGCCAGTCTTTATGGTTTTTGCGGACCAAGATGGTGTGTAAGAGGAGAATTTAACGTGGTGAGATTTGTAAATGAGAAATCAAATGGGGGAAGGATGACTACAAGCATGAGGAATTTTAATGATTTCATCCAAGATACAGAACTTAAGGATCTGGAGTTGCTCAACGCTCAATTTACTTGGTCAAACTTCAGAGAAGAACCTGTGTGTCGAGGGTTAGACAGATTTTTGTTCTCGGTAGGTTGTGAAGAGATTTTTCTAGAGGTAAGAAAAATGGCTTTGGCAAGGGTCACTTCTGATCATTGTCCAATCCAGCTAGATACTAACATTCAGATTCGAAAACATGTGGCTACAACACCCAGATTTCAAGAACAATTTCAAACAATGGTGGCAATCTAAGCAAGTAGAGGGTTGGAAGGGTTATAAATTTTTGTACAAGTTAAAAGCTATCAAAAGAAAGTTGCAAAGATGGAGTAAGGAAATTTTCGGTGATGTCGAGAAACAAATTAAGGATGCTGAGGCTAGCATAGAGGATTTAGATAGGAGAGAAGGGTTGGAAGGGCTAGATGTTGCTGCTAAAAGAAAGAAGGAAGAGTTACTTTTCCTTGTGGAAGATCTGGCTTACAAGGAAGAAGTGAAGTGGAGATAGAGAGGTAAAGTGACGGTAATACTAAATTTTTCCATAGAATAGCAAGTGGGAGAAGGAAGAGAAACTATATAGAAAGGTTGGAAATGGATGACAGGGGAGTGGTAGAGGATGCATAAGAGATAGAAAAACATATCATTAACTTCTTTAAGTCCCTGTTTAGTAGCAACGAAGAGGTATGTTGGGGCTTAGAAGGCATCAATTGGGCCTCAATAAGTGAATCTGAGGCAGCTTGGCTTGAGAGGCCTTTTGAGGAATCGGAAGTACAAAGAGCAGTCTCTGATTGTGGAAGGGATAAATCGCCAGGACCAGATGGTTATTCCTTGCAAATGTTTCAACATTGTTGGGAATTCTTGAAACTGGATATTTTGAAGGTTATGGAGGAGTTCTTTGAGACAGGGATAATAAACGCGGTGACAAATGAAACATTTATTTGTCTAATTCCGAAAAAGTCAGATTCTTTGAAAGTGACAGACTATAGGCCTATAAGCCTAGTTACTGGTTTATACAAAATTGTGGCGAAAACCCTAGCTTCAAGATTAAGGGAGATTATGGGCAACACAATCTCTCTACATCAAGGAGCTTTTGTTAAAGGCCGAAAAATTTTGGATGCTGTCCTTATTGCAAATAAGGTGGTAAAAGAGGTGAGGCAGAAGAAAGAGGAGGGATTGGTGTTCAAAATCGATTTTGAAAAGGCTTATGATCATGTTGAGTAGAGATTTTTAGACGAAGTTTTACAAAGAAAAGGCTTTGGCAATAGATGGAGGAAATGGGTGCAGGGATGTCTAAATTCTGCAAATTTCTCCGTTTTGATCAATGGGAGGCCTAGGGGAAAATTTCATGCTTCAAGAGGTTTGAGACAAGGCGATCCACTGTCACCTTTTCTTTTTACCTTAGTAGTGGATGTCTTAAGTAGATTAATGGAGAAGGCTTAAGAAAACCATCTGATCAAAGGTTTAGGCATTGGGCAAGAAAGGGTGGAGATCTCTCATCTTCAATTTGATGATGATAACATTTTCTTCTTGGCGGAAGATGAGGAAGTTTGGAACAATTTATTAGAGGTGCTCAATTTATTTTGTACTGTTTCAGGGTTGAAAAGCAACAAAGCAAAGTGTTCTTTGGCTGGAATAAACTCAGATTGTGAGAAATTAAAAAGGATGGCAGATTATTGGGGTTGTGAGTTGAGTAGTTGGCCAATAAAGTACTTGGGTCTCCCTCTTGGGGGTAGGCCAATAACACTTATGTTTTGGGATCCAGTGGTAGAAAAAATGGAAAAAAAGACTTCAAAGTTGGAAGAAGGCCTTTCATATCTAGAAGAGGTAGATTAACTTTGATTCAATCTATTACATGTCCTTGTTCAAAATTCCTTGCGGGGTGATTGGACGCCTAGAAAAACTAATGAAAGGGTTTCTTTGGGAGGGGGTGGAGGAAGGAAAGAAAAACCACATGGTGAAATGGGAGATAGTTATTAAAAGTAAGGAGGAAAGGGGTTTAGGTGTGGGGAATTTGAGGAATCAGAATGAAGCGTTATTGGCTAAGTGGTTATGGAGATTCCCAAAGGAACCAAATTCTCTCTGGCACAAGGTGATAAGAAGCAAGTATGGGTTGCAGGATAATGGGTGGAATGCAAATCCTCCATTGCGAGGTTCAAGTCACAGCCCCTGGAAAGATATTTCGTGTGGTCTCCAATCGTTTCTACAATGCTGCAAGTTTGAGGTGGGCAACGGGGAGAAGGTGAGGTTTTGGGAGGATGGTTGGTTGGAAGGGGGACCATTGAAAGAACAATATCCTAGATTATTCTTGCTATCAAGAATGCACAACTAGTCTATGGCCAAGAGACGAGGTGAGGCCTCGGGTTCGTGGCAGCAATGTTTATCAGAAAGGATGGTGGTGGTGATCCGGTGAGTTTCACGGAGAGAGGGAGAGTTAGAGTGAGAGAAGAATCTGGAAAGGGGAGAGAGCTGAGAGGGTTAAAGAGAAAGGTGAGGTGGCAATCATCCATTGGGAGAGTAAGGTGAGACAGATTTGAATATTGAGAGATAGTGTCCCGAGAGATATGGAGGCACAAGATGAGTTTTGGTGTGGGTGTGAGTCCCACATCAAGAAAAACTAA